TATTATAACATAATCACTTATGGCACATTATACCAAAAAGGTGAACAAAATTACATAATTGTGTTAGATATAACCAAGATTGTCCTAGTGATAATGATGGAGAAAAAGTAACGAACATTTGGATCAAACTAGCTTAAAAATGTACATTTCGCAATAGCAAATGATTGATTTATTTTCTATTTCACATGACAGAATTAGCCGATATGACCAACCTGGAGGAGTTGGATTTAAGTGATAATAGGTTCAATGACACACCAAGCATCCCAGGTAAAAGGAGATCTAGTCGCGGTATCTTGTGCATACTTCAAAATGTAAAGCTCTCCCATGACAATTATTCCTCTTAGAAAGTTGCTTTTTTTCTACAGATTGTGCGAGGTTATCGAGATTGAAAAAGCTGAAGAGTATAATTCTTGGATATAACGAATTCAACAAGAGCATCATTTCATGCTTAAGTGCTCTCCCGTCCCTCAAGACTTTAGATCTTTCATATAATTTGTTGGGAGGTTCCTTTCCCATCCAAGGCATGTTCTAAATGACTAAATTTCATCTTTAATATTATCTATAAGTTAGCCATACTGAACTTTAACAAATTTTCTTATCGTAAATCATTTGAGTTTTAAAATGTCTGCGCCTCTTTATCTAATTCAGAGTTGTTGCATTTGCGGGATCTAGAAGTTCTCCGCTTGAGTGGTAATCATTTCAATGGAACACTACCGATGGAAGGTAAGCTTTTTTTTCTTCATTCCGTTACTACATTGTATGAAATATTAATATGATAGATAGATGGATGGCGCAATAACTTATGTAGCTTCAGCCATCAAGAATCCATAACCATCAACAAATCCTTTTTCAAAGTTTCCTTTAGTAACCTATATATGTAATCATCTCTTGTCATCCAGCTTTGATATCTCTCCACAATCTCGAGGTCTTAGATTTGAGTAAGAACTATTTTGTTGGGAGCATCCCGTCAACAATACATGCATTTTCTTCTCTTAGAGTTGTCTCGTTCGCTTACAACAACCTCAGCGGCTTAATACCTGATCATGGTAAGTTACCTACAACATGCATGCTTAACTATTGAGGTTGCTTAAAACCAATATATAAACGGAGAGTTTATATATTATAGCTAAATTTATGTACAGCTTTTGTAACATTACGTTTGCCCGTTAGTTGATCTTTTTGATGTATGATTATGCAAGTGCAAGTTAATAAAGGATGAGCAATAGGGTCTTTTTTCCTCTTTTGTCAGGTTTATGTGAGTTGAAGAACCTTCATGAGTTAGATCTTAGTCACAACAAGTTCCATGGAAGCCTGCCTCAGTGTTTCAGGAGTCTATCATCTCTTAAGTTGTTGGATATTTCTTCAAACCGATTCACGGGAATACATATGTCATCAGTGATTGCTACTCTCACGTCTCTCGAGTACATTGATTTTAGTGGCAACAAATTTGAAGGTTCATTCTCATTTAGCTCATTCTCCAATCATACCAATCTTGAGGTAGTTAGATTCATATGTGAAAATGGCGAGTTTGAGGTGGAAACAGAAGAGCCTACAGGTTGGATTCCAGTCTTCCAGTTGAAAGTCCTTGTACTGTCGAGTTGCAATATAAATAGGCCTAAAGGAAGTGTTGTTCCCGGGTTTCTACTTCACCAACGCAAGTTACAGGTAATAGACCTATCTCACAACTCCGTGGTGGGACAGTTTCCAAGTTGGTTGATTGAAAATAATACAAAGCTGGAAGTCCTCAATCTAAGGAACAACTCAGTGAGCGGAAAAATTTGTATGCCATGGTATACGAATGCTAACACAAGGTGGTTGGACGTGTCTCAAAATCACATGAATGGTGTTATTCCGAGTGATTTACAAAAATTGCTTCCCAAAATAAACTATTTAAATCTGTCTAGCAATTCGTTGGATGGCATCATCCCGTCTTCGATTGGTGATATGAGAGAAATATGGGCACTGGATCTATCAAACAATAAGTTCTCAGGAGAAGTTCCAAAGGGATTGTTAACAAATCTCTCTTACTTAAGTATATTGAAATTATCAAAGAACAGATTGCATGGCGAGGTACTTTCAGGAAACTCAAGCTTGGGTAACATCGAGAGTCTTGGGTTAGATAACAATTATTTCACAGGGAAAATTGGAAAAGGGACCGTCCAGAATCGTTATATGAGGAGTTTGGATATTAGCAATAATTTTTTTACAGGTATGATCCCCCGGGGGATTGGCAACATGAGTGCATTGTCCGAATTTGTGGTGAGAGATAATAGTTTGGCAGGCACGTTTCCTTGTGGAACAACTTCATTCTCATTTTTGGATATCTCACAAAATTCTTTCTCAGGGCCCATCTCATCTTGCTTAAATTTGCAATATATGATACATCTTCATTTGGGTTCCAACAAATTCAACGGATCAATACCAGATGTCTTTCGTAATTTGACAGATGTTTTGACTTTGGATATAGGCGACAACTTTTTGTCAGGAAAGATTCCTAATTTTATCGGTGAACTATCCAATTTAAGGGTTCTGATTTTGAGAAATAATAACTTTAGTGGTTTTATTCCGAAGCAGTTGTGCCAATTAAGTAACTTGAGTTTGATAGATTTATCAAGTAATTCCCTTACGAGTTCAATACCTCGTTGCCTCCATAATATTGGTAGGCCTATTTTCCCTTCTTTCACAGAAAGAAATATTGGTGAAGTGGAGACTTCCTTCTACGACTATCGGAGTGTTCTATATGGAGGAACTCATGTCTACTCTATGGCAGAAGTATTTGAAATAGAAGACGAAGTTCGGTATACAACGAAAACACTTTCCCTTTCTTACAAAGGTAGGATTCTTGATTACATGGTGGGATTGGATCTATCCTGTAACAAAATAACAGGTGAAATCCCAGAAGAACTAGGGTTGTTGACTGAGATTCACTCATTGAACTTGTCTCACAATCGGTTGTCTGGATCTATTCCAATGCAATTGTCAAATCTTGAGTTGATAGAGAGCTTGGACCTTTCTTCAAATGGTTTGAGTGGCAAACTTCCATCACAACTGATTCGACTTACTTCTCTAGCCATCTTCAATGTTTCTTACAACAATCTATCAGGTAGACTCCCAGATGTGAAAGCACAGTTTAGTACCTTTACCAAGGCGAGTTATGAAGGGAATCCATTTCTTTGTGGACCACCACTCGAAAAGAAATGCACGGCTACATCACAAGGTACTCATACCCTAACAAAAGAAGGCACTGATGATAAATGGTATGATATCGACATGACATTCTTTTATGGAAGTTTTTGTACGACATGGGTTGTGTTCTTACTGGGATTTGGCGTGCTTCTTTACACCAATCCTTATTTGCGTAGAAGGTGGCTAGACTTGGTTGAAGAATATATATGTATGCACGCCATCACTTCTTTGATGATCTAGGAAGTAAGCTCTCAGATCTATTCTGTAAATAAGACCTCCTTAAGAATGTGTGAAGTTGTATGTATTTGAATTTTTTTAAGTTATAAGCAAATGTATATTAAGACTCTGGCTACAAGTGTTTGTGTATATATCTATATATGCTAGAAAAAGGTTTGATCATCAATAGCAAACATGCATGTGTTTGTGTAACTCACAACTACTATACATGTAAACTTACATTTTTGTTCAAATAGTGGGCCTTGCCCAAAAGAACTTACAAACCGCTCCACGAATGAGGAGAGGTTCATGTTTGTCTGTCACTCGTTATTGAAGCACTTTTCTACAATACTTGTCTTAGAAGAACCAATTCATGGGCGCACGCTCGCGCTCGAGCCGTTGTTGTTTTTCAATTATTATACAAGTAGACTTTTATCATAGATTTGTATCATCTACATCATCCTACAAATCATTTCGATAAAGCTCTTAGAATTTCAAAAGTACAACAAATGAAGCAAGTACAAATTATCAGTACATTAGGTATGACTTGTTGAGAATTTTTAGCTGGAAACATGTCTAACATAGGAGTAACAATAACAGTAAAGTGTAGGGTATGGTTAATGCTTAACAAAGTTTGAAAACTTTGGTCTCAAATCATCACAATTAAATTCATTTGAGATATTTGGGTTTTTTATTACGTGTTTTCTTGTTATAAATTATAGAAAAGCAAGTTAAATCCTTGGAGAGTGCGTGTATAATTACGAGTACACAACTAGTTATTACATTTATGGCACAATCTACGTTTACAAGGTAATTAACGATTAATTGGTTCAATATTTCATCCATTCGTTAACTTTCCGAGTCATATAGGGATGAAATTCTCAACTAACTTAGGGACAACTTAACTGACAAAATAAAAGTTAGGTCTTAGAGTTCCTCATTATAGGTTATGAATTCGAGTCTCTTAATGTCAAAAAATATTCCATGTGTTATTATTTTAGGACCATATGGAATTAGTCGAGGTGTGTGTAAGTTGGTCTAGAAATACATTGTTAACAAAAACAAAATTGTATAGTAACCTTTTATCTAGGGGGCGTTAGTATAAAACTGAAAGTAGATGGATGAAATCTGCATATCGACATTTAATGAGGGACCATTTAGGTATTCCCTCTCTCTTTATATTATTCATGTCGGTTTCTAATGGGTTCGAACCCTAGACGCCTTCGATGATCATGGTCCACGGTTTTGCCAATCCTCTAATCGCTACGTGAAATCATCTGCTGCTCTTCTCAGTGAGAATTTCCGTGAATCCTCCAGGCTTTGCTCCGTTTCAGTTCCTCCGCCCTTCTCCTCCAATATCTCCGTTCCTCCGTCGCCGAGCCTCCGCCAGTCGCCTGCCCCTTTGCTGCTCCGCGCTTCTCCACTCCAGAGTCTCTTGCCATCATTAAGATCAGTACGAAATATAATTTAGGGTTTATTTTATTATTTATTTTGCCATTTGTGAGCTTGTAGATCTTAAAACCTTAATACCTTGGGGCAAAGACTTAAAGAGCAGTAGAACTTCCTGTTTTGATGTTTCGGGCATCGTTATAAAAATATTCAAGCTTGACAGAAGCCATAGATGCTTGTTTCTGTATTTCAGTATTTAATCAACGTTGGCTTGTTGGGCAATTTAGCGCATAAACATATAATGGATGCAGTTATGCAAATTAAAAGAAGATTATGAATGCTTGTTTCTGAATTTGATCAATCTTATGTTTCAAAATTATGTTAAGCATAAGGCATATTAGGTTTTTGGTCAGGAATGCATATTATGCTTTATTTAAGATGATCACCCGGGTGATTTTTCTGACTCCTCCCCTGATAATAGTATTAAGCAAATTTCTGTCGACTGCACTTTCTTGATTAGGTAAAACTTTCACAGATTGGGGGACGGAGAATACACATATTTGGTTTGTGGATTTATGGAGAATTCACTTTCCTTTTCCAATGTCCTTCAATTCTTTTTTGGAGGTTTTTCTTAATGTGACCTAATTTAAGGCAGTTAAGTTGTACTCTTGGACATCTTGATAATTGGGGATTTGAAGATTTCCAGAAATAATTTGTAGCTAGAAATAGAATAAGGTTAGTGTTATGTTGGTATCAATTTCGATCTGGAAAATATTAGGGGTCAACACTAAAACCAAGGTGTAACTCTTTTTACTGAAATGGGATAGTAATCAAGTTCATTTTGATGTTAGTTTATTGAAGCTTATTACTGTTCAGTGAAACGCCTAACGGGGAATATTTTCATTGTAATCTTGCTTCTTGATATTTATATTCTGAAATTCTGTTATATTGGTAATCAATGTACCCATAAAATGTAGCCTGAATTTTATTGTTGATTGTAAGCTTTTGACTCTTTTAAGAGTTTGAGTTTGAGTACCATGCTTACATGTTTAGAGTTTCTTGTAGGATATGGAGAATGACGAAGATTATGTGGAATATGTCCCCATTGCAAAACGAAGGGCAATGGAGGCACAAAAGATTCTTCAACGTAAGGGGCAAGCTTCCACCTTTGAAGACGAAACAGAAAAGGCAAAACAAGTAGAAATGAAACCTAGCTTGCTTGTGAAAGCTTCCCAACTTAAGCGCGATCAGCCTGAAGTCACTCCCACTGAACAAGCAGTTCAACAAGAAAAAGAGATGATGGAAAATCTTTCTGATAGAAAGACTTTAATGTCAGTTCGTGAACTTGCAAAAGGGATAACATACTCTGAACCTCTGCCAACGGGATGGAAACCCCCTTTGCCCATAAGAAGGATGTCCCAAAAAGCATGCGATGGTATAAGGAAACAATGGCATATTATCGTTGATGGTGACGAAATCCCCCCACCAATTAAAAACTTCAAAGATATGAGATTTCCTGATCCAGTTCTAAAGAAATTGAAAGAAAAAGGAATAGTACAGCCAACACCTATTCAAGTTCAAGGCCTTCCTGTTATTCTTTCCGGAAGAGATATGATTGGAATAGCGTTTACAGGGTCGGGAAAAACATTGGTTTTCGTGTTACCATTGATTATGATGGCATTGCAGGAGGAGATTATGATGCCAATTGCTCCAGGAGAAGGGCCATTTGGATTGATTGTTTGCCCATCTAGAGAGCTAGCTCGGCAGACGTTTGAGGTTGTGGAGGAGTTTTTAATACCTTTGAGGGAATTTGGATTTCCAGAAATAAGACCTTTGCTTTGCATTGGAGGTGTTGATATGCGGTCACAGTTGGATATCGTCAAGAAAGGTGTTCATATCGTAGTTGCTACGCCTGGGAGATTGAAGGACCTGCTTGCCAAAAAGAAGATGAATCTTGACAATTGCCGGTAAGCAAACCCAATATGTTTTATCATATTAGTAGCATCTAAAGTTGGACTATAATTAGTTTCAATGCTATGTCTACGTTAGATCTGGTTAATTTCTTAGCTCAATAATGGTTATTTGATGATGTGGATGCCAAGTTGTCTTAAGATATTTTTGACCGGTAACTTGTTGATCAACCACTATATATTATTCAATCAATATAACTTAAGATCTTGGTACCCACATCATCAAGTCTTACAAGATCAACATATTATAGGTAAAAATAGGTTCTAAATAGGAAATTTAGAAACTTTGTGACATTGCTTAGGGAATAAAGTTCTTAGCTACATTCGCTACGCCGAATAGGAACTAAAGCAAACTTCATTGCATTTTGATGCATTTTGTTGCATTATGCCTGTAAAATAACTCTCGATGGGGATGTCAAGTTGTTTGACATTATTACTTGAGTTACTTTAGAGATATGGTTCTATAAACACTTTGTTTCTTGCAGGTATTTGACTTTAGATGAGGCAGATAGATTGGTTGATCTGGGGTTTGAAGATGACATAAGAGAAGTATTTGATCATTTCAAAGCTCAAAGGCAAACCCTTCTCTTTTCTGCAACTATGCCTGCAAAGATCCAAAATTTTGCTAGAAGTGCTTTGGTCAAACCCGTTACCGTAAACGTTGGTCGAGCCGGAGCAGCAAATCTTGACGTGATCCAAGAAGTCGAGTATGTGAAGCAAGAAGTAAAACTCGTCTACCTCCTTGAATGCCTACAGAAAACCCCACCCCCCGTGTTGGTATTTTGTGAAAACAAAGCCGACGTGGACGATATCCACGAATACCTCCTTTTGAAAGGAGTGGAAGCCGTCGCAATTCATGGAGGCAAAGATCAAGAAGAGAGAGAGTATGCCATTTCGTCTTTCAAAGCAAGCAAGAAAGACGTTTTGGTTGCCACAGATGTCGCCTCAAAGGGTTTGGATTTTCCCGATATCCAACACGTCATCAATTACGATATGCCAGCGGAAATCGAGAACTATGTTCACAGGATTGGGCGAACCGGGAGGTGCGGTAAGACAGGTATTGCAACAACATTTATCAACAAGAACCAAAGCGAGACTACACTTCTTGATTTGAAGCATTTGTTACAAGAGGCGAAACAGAGAATACCTCCGGTTTTGGCGGAGTTGAACGACCCCATGGAAGATGTGGACGCAATTACAAATGCAAGTGGTGTGAAGGGGTGTGCGTATTGTGGTGGACTTGGTCATCGTATCCGTGATTGTCCGAAGCTCGAGCATCAGAAAAGCATGCAGATTGCAAGTTCCAGGAGGGATTACTTTGGTTCTGGAGGGTACAGAGGAGAAATATGAGGTATGCAACATGTTTTGTACTCTTGAATATTTTTCCAATATTTTGACTAATCTGTTGTATCAAGGTTAGTTGAAATTTATTAGAAAAAGTTGGTTGGATTCTAGCCTATGCTTCTTGAAATGCCAATCTTGAGCTCATCTCCTAACTGGCTATACGGTTATAATTGATGTCAATAACTAGTTAGATTGTTGGTGTTTTCGAAGTTCTTAAAGTCGAATTATTATAGAAAAGAATACCTGTTAGCGTTCTGATCCTTGCTAGGTAGAAGACATGTTGGCATATATGCCACACTTGCCCCTCCTAGATCTTGCTTTCAAGTGTGATGTATGATAAACTCCGAATTACAATCAAGGTTAGGATAACCCAACGAGTGATTGAAGCTCCAAATCAGGAAAATCAATGTAAGAATGAGTAGAAGAGCTAGTTAATACGAACCGGAAGAAAGTTTAGCAGAAGAAAAAGGTGTATATTACATTCGTACCTTTTTCAGAGAAACATACGCTATGTAATGCGTAACAACCAAAAATAACAAACTCTACTGGACGATGACGTATGTCCTTTATCAGATCTACCACAAGGTTTATTTAGGCACCTAAATGTGCTGATCTGGCCATGTCACCCAGGTTACTCGTATCATTACCTCCTTCTTGAAAATGATCTTTGTCCCCAAGGATAAATGTCGGATAGACCCTGTCCATAGCCACTTCGTCTTCCCAAGTGGCATCTTCAACCGGACGGACGATCTTTCCATTTAACTAGCCATTCAATGTCTGGTCTGTTTTGTCTTTTGATAGTTCTATATCAATCACTTGGTCAGGAATCTTGTCCACAACAGTTCTAGGTGCTGCCTCTGTCGTGGTGGTTGTAGGAATCGGACCATGGTGTTTCTTGAGGAGTGAAACATGAAATGTAGGATGAATGCTAGATCCTTGTGGTAGTTTAAGTGTGTACGCAACCTGTCCCACTTTAGCACGAATCTGATAAGGGCCAAAGTACTTGGCTGATAACTTCATGTTTTCCCTATCCACAATTGAAGTTTGTCTATACGGTTGCAACTTGAGATAGACCCAATCCCCGACTTCAGATGTTCTTTCAGATCGTTGTTTGTCAGCGACTTGCTTCATTCTGTTTTGTGCCTTGTGCAGGTTACGCTTTAGTAGCTTTATAGCCTCCTCTCTTGCTGTTAAGTTCCTATCCACTGAATCCACCTTGCTTTCCTCTGGTAAATATGGCAAATGTAAGGCGGTGGCTACCCGTAGACCACCTCAAACAGGGTACACTTGATGGACGAATGAAAATTGGTATTATATCAATACTCGGCCGTGCCCACTTCTTAGGTGCATCGTGACACATACACCGTAGGTAACCTTCCAAACACCTGTTTAAGAGTTCAGATTGGCCGTCAGATTGGGGGTGGTAGCTGCTGGACATATTTTGATCGATGCCCTGTAATGTGTTAAGTTGGTGTTTGGTTTCATTTTGAATACTTGTTTAAGTTTATGTTTTTGATGTTGAAACTATATTTTCAATGAATACATATAATATATTAAGTTATGTATGTATATGTATAATATATATAAAATTCTAATAATTATATAAACGCTATTTTTGGACCGACATGCCACCGCTTTACCATCGCGATAACCGCTATTTCAAATAACAATACTGACCGCCTTGGTTTTCAAAAGCGCGATGCGGTCCAAGGCGGTAAGGGTCCCGGAAGCCGATGCGTGATGCTGATGCGATCGCATCACACACATGATGCGTCCGGTATTCAAAAAATATTTATAAATTAATTCTACATGTCAATTTCTACCTTAAAAATATTTACCTATCAAAATACTTCATTTATAACATAAAGTAGTTCAAAAAGTGGCATTAGAATCTTAAAAAGTTCGTGAATCGGAATAGCAAAACACACAAACTACTACCATGAAGAACGCAAGTAAATGTCTAATAGTCCCCAATCCCTAAACTAAATGACCAAGTGACCAACTAATATTCCCCAAGATTAGCATCATCAAACCCCAACACGGGTTCATCTCCCTCATTGATTGATATGTGAGTGCGACTTCTGCTTCTTCTATTAGTCGCTGTCGGCTTCTTCTATTAGGTCACCATTCAGTCTCACGTAATCAACTAAAAACTGAAAAAGGGAGCCTAAATACAAGATGCGCTGATGCATAGGTGATGTACCCATCGTGTAATGCGTAGGTGATGTGAGCGCATCATGGGATCGCAATGCATCAGCCCATATGATGCGTTTCCTCCGGCGCATCAGAGCGCATTATGCGCGCATTTTTAAACCAAGCTGACCGCGATTTCGTATTTTGACCTCTGTAACAACATAGGTTGAAACAACCTATTCATCAAACTCTAGAAGGTGGAAGGAGTGTTGTTAGGCCGAATGGCATAACCAAAAATTCAAAATGTCTACAATGCGTTTTAAAGGCGGTTTTGTGAACATCTTGATTAGCAACTTGAATTTGATGGTACCCGACCCTTAAGTCTATTTTGGAGAAACACCGAGTGCCATATAACTTGTCCATGAGTTTCAATCGAAGGAATAGAGAATCTGTCTGGAATTGTCATTTTGTTTAAAGCACGGTAATCCACGCACATTCTCCCGTCCATAGCATTACCTGAAATCTGAGAAAAATTGTTGTCTGTATCTGACGACCCTTCGTCATCACCATCATTCCCCAACTCCTCCCATTCTAAATGAAATAACTGAGGCCACTTACCCTTGCACCGATGCCCATATTCGTATTTCTCATTACAAAAGAAACACAACCCTTTTTATCGCCTTCCGTTGAGTTCAGCTGGGGACAAGGTCTTTCGGTTGCAATTTGGTATGAAGGGAGCTATATGTGATTTTGGTGCGTTGCTCACAGATTTGTTAGTGAAATTGGGAGTTTTCATGGGTAGAGGCAATATATCAGTTACATACCGCTCCCATGAAGGATTTACATGATTTCGTCGTATCCCTGATGCCATTGCAAAGCTCTGCTTTCTAGATGTATGAAAGCCAGAGGAACTTAGGGGTCGTTTACCAACACTTATCCGGGTTACCGGTAAAATTCAAAACTATCAATTACTTACCGAGTAAGATTTTAGTTCACAAAAACGGTATCGTATGCAAATTTGGTAAACACTAACCGGATAAACGAGATTCCTTATCCTTACTAGGATAACATCTCGGTCTGCGACATTGTGGGTTAAAGGGCGTGGGTAATCAAGTTTATCTTTATTGTGTAAGCACCATTTACCTGATGAAAACAGTAAGTATTCAATAAACATGTTCTAAATGTTCTAAAAGTATCTTCAATAACCATATTATAATTTTTCTAAAACAGAGTAAAAGATCAAAACTTTTAAAAAGAATTACATTCAATTCCTATAACTATTCTATTTTAACAATTCTAACATTGACTATATTATTAAAATATTCAATATATTTAATAAAATATTATCTTTCTCTCCTAATATTTTTAATTTCAATACGTCTTATTTTGGCATAGGAGTTGGAGCAATAGAATTCTTAAAATCTCCAAAATCTTTATTTTAACATAATTGTTGGAGATTCTCTAAGTAAGCGGCATGTTTGTTAGTAGCTTAATGAGCTTAATGGGACTCACACCTTATTCGGTTAGCTATACATGACTGTTTAATAACGGCTTAAGGATATAGAAAGTGGCTTATTCAATAAGCTTTTAAGAGGGATATTTATGAAAAAACCAAGTTTTTTCCAAACCTGTCCCTCAATTAAAAAACACGCTCCTTTTGTTTAGGAAAAACTTCCAAAACCCCCTTTCCCAATCTATATAGAGAGATTACTCTATCGCACATACAACTTTATCCATGTATGACTTAATGAAAAACCAACCAAATCCAAAACCCCCTTTCCCAATCTATATAGAGAGATTACTCTATCGCACATACAACTTTATCCATGTATGACTTAATGAAAAACCAACCAAATCCAAAACCCCCTTTCCCAATCTATATAGAGAGATTACTCTATCGCACATACAACTTTATCCATGTATGACTTAATGAAAAACCAACCAAACAACCCCTAAGTGTTCAATAAACAAGCAATAAGTTTGCAGTGAACAGCGTGGACCAGTCGTCGGTCTGAAAAATATTATATCGATCAAAGGACAGCCATGTGCATGTTTAGAAACGGTTACGCAGATGGCTACAGTTTATGACTTCACGTAGAAAACTCGCAAGATTGTATTCACAAATGAGTTCCAACATGTGTTCTAAACTCATGACAACTAAATCATGTCATTTAATCACCATCACCATCATGACCTATCGACTAACTTTAAAAAAAAGAGAGGCTAACTTGGGTGCTAAATAGATGTCGAGATTCAGAAGCACTTTCTGTCATTTTTATACCCTAAATCTTAAAGAGTAAACCGCCGTGAGCAGCAAAGAAGGGTGCAAAAACAAGCGATTCCACAGCCATGAGTTTGATAAGAATGTTGAGCGATGGACCAGAGGTGTCCTTGAGTGGATCACCAATGGTGTCCCCGATCACAGCCGCCTTGTGTGGTTCAGACCCCTTTGGTCCAAGGGTCCTTGCATGTTCTGAAGCTCCAGCCTGATAGATAATTGACAATGGTCAAGAATTTAGTAGCATAAACCGAAGAACGTAGCAGTGCAACATCTAAACAGATAATCACCTCGATGTACTTCTTGGCATTGTCCCAAGCACCGCCTGTGTTTGATGCAGAAATCGCTACCTGTTGCAGAAAAACAACCGTATCAGCCACTTAGTTGGGTAAGTTTTTTACAAATAGCATGAAAGCGACCATCAAGTGTTATGGTATCAAAGTGGAGGCCTAATACCACCTAGGGTGCGTTTGGTGGTCTGACAAGATTTTAGGGTTATAATTTGATATGGATAGTTTAATTATTTACCAATCTTATCTCATTTCTCCTATTTTTGGTAGGACAAATGCATTTTACTTTTTCTGTCCCACACAGTCCAGTCTTGTCCCGGTCTACATGTCGTACCGGATATGAGACAACCAAGCTTTTGTCAAATCCTGTCTCGTGCACCGAACACACTTAGGGACCTAACACACTCTTTTGCCTCCATTTGAGGGAGCATGTTGGAGTCTCATGTCAGTTAGACAGACTATCAGACCTGTATAATGTATGAAACTACCATCTCACTATAATGGCTCTTTTAGAGAGAATCATCAGGGTTCCACGTATTCTAACAACAGCGCTTGTATAATTTATATCAAGAACATTTGTTACCTGGACACCAGATACTAGGGAACCAGCAAGGATACCAGAAAGGGTCTCCACTCCGAATAAGATCCCAACGATTAGGGGAGTTAACATGACAAGGGCACCCGGGGGAATCATCTCCTTGATAGATGCATCGGTGGAGATCTTCACACACGTGGTGTAATCAGGTTTGGCCAGGCCTTCCATGAGACCAGGGATGGTGTTGAACTGCCTACGAACTTCCTCAACCATTTTCAAAGCTGCACTGCCCACACTCTTCATGGTCATGGCTGAGAACCAGTATGGAAGCATAGCGCCGACGACTAAACCTATGAAAACCTTTGGTGTTAAAACATCAACCGTTTGAATTCCTGCACGACTGACAAATGCACCAAATAGCGCTAGCGAGACCAACGCAGCAGATCCAATCGCAAATCCCTACGAATATAAATGGATGTAAGAACAATAACAACTAGCATTATTTTCTTACTTTGTTTTCTTGTACCTACTTCTTTTTGCACGTAGCTAGCTTTTCAAAATTTAGCATATCCGTCTTTCTTTCCTCTTCAAAAAATTTGGGTAAACTTTATCTTTTTCACACATTTTGCAAAAGCCGAAGGTCTTTACAAAAGTATCCGCAATACCCTTTGGGATAGAGGACAGATCTGCATATACCCCCAGACCGTACTTCCAAATGAGATATATTGGGTTCGTTGTATGTCAAAAGGATATATTGGATTACCTTTCCGATGGCAGCAGTGGTGTTCCCTGCAGCATCAAGGGCATCGGTCCTCTCACGGATTCTGTGGCTCATACCAGCCATTTCCGCAATGCCTCCAGCATTATCACTGATGGGACCATAAGCATCTATAGCCAGTCCAGTAGCGATGGTGCTAAGCATTCCAAGAGCAGCCATTGCAATTCCATACATGGCAGCAAATCTGAAACTGACATAAATGCTGATAGCTATGGCAAAAATGGGAATGATCACAGATTTGTATCCCAATGCAAGCCCAAATATAACATTTGTTGCAGCTCCAGTTCTGCAGGAATCAGCAACATCTTGCACAGGGCTGCATCAAAGAGAAGATGAATGAATTCACAATCATATAGAATGTAACCCAGATCCTAACTCTGTGTGGGATATACCGAGTTTGTTATATGACATACCTGTAAGCATTGCTGGTATAGTATTCCGTTACAAAACCGATGATAAGTCCGGCCCAAAGACCAACACACACGCACAAGAAAAGTTGCCTGCATAATCAGAGATTGTTATATAGACATGTGACTGTTCTTCGGGGAACGAGATCACGTCAGTCTACCTCCCATCCTCAGACCCCACATCCAGTTGAGTTGGGATGTATTGGGCTCGTGTTTACTGTTATATAGGCAAGTGACTATTCTTTGAGGTAAAAGTCAAGTCTGCTTACATCCCATCATCAGATCCCATCTTTGGGCGGAATGTACTCGGTTCTTTTAGCTACTGTTATATATAGACATATGACTATTCTTCGGGGTAGAGGTCAAGCCTACGTACATCCATCATCAAACCCACCTCTAGGAGAGATGTATTGGGTTCATTTGGTTTACTGTTTAACTCTTATATAGGCATGGGACTATTCTTTGGGTAGAGGTCAGGTATGTGTACATTCCACGAGAACCCACCTCTAGATGAAATATATTGGATTTCTTTGGTTTATAGTAGAATAGGGCATATATTTTTTTGAATAGGTGAACCAATAGAGAACTCCTGCTTACCAGTTATGCACGACCTTCTGTGAACCAAAATTGAATATTGTGAAGGATGTCGGGAGACCAAGCCAACTAACAATTGCAATACCAATCGTCATAAGAACGGTGGAGATGATAAGTTGCTTCTTCAATGCTGTTTGGATTTCATGGACAGCCTTGATTTCAAAGAAATCAGTAGCAAATAGTGTGGTTATCAAGCAAACAAGAATTCCCATGGAACTCACAAGCAACGGATAGCACATTGCAGTGAAATCATGGTCGATTCCGAAAGAAGAGATGGAAGCAACCACAAGTGCAGCACAAGATGATTCGGCATACGACCCAAAAAGGTCAGATCCCATCCCAGCAATGTCCCCAACGTTATCCCCGACATTATCAGCAATCACCTACGATAAGAGCAAGAACCCTAAATACGCAAACTTTGGCATAAAATCGACAAGAAACACTACAATGAAATTGGGTTCATATGATGCCTAAAATGTCTACATGGTTCTAATAGACTACTTTATAGATAAAGTCATAGGATAAACAATTGTGCCTCCTATATAAAAAGTTGTTGCATTTTGGACGTCTTAACAAGTTTTGTATTAGTTTTTTTTTTCGAGGACACTCTTGAGAAGTAACACTTCTTATAGGACACTCATAAACGTCATATAAACTTATTGTAACACTTTTACATATGACACATAATTGTTTCCCCCAGCTTATCATGACATATAAAAGTATCGGCGTCCTATAAACCCAACTTGAAAATATGAACGTGACTTACGGCTGGATTTCGAGGGTCATCTTCTGGAATGTTTCTCTCTACCTTCCCAACAAGATCAGCACCAACATCAGCAGCCTTGGTATATATACCTCCACCAACTCTTCCAAACAAAGCCATTGAAGAACCACCAAGTCCATAACCAGTTATAGCCTCAAAAAGTCCTTCCCAATCATCCCCATAATATATCTTAAACAGATTTATTGCAATATATAAAACCAAAAGACCATTTGCAGCAAGAAGAAAACCCATTACAGCACCGGACCTAAAAGCGGTAATGAAAGCTTTTCCGACACCTTTTCTGGCTTCCAGGGTTGTTCTTGCGTTAGCATAAGTAGCTATTTTCATCCCGAGGAAACCAGAAACTATGGAGGTAATAGCACCAAGCAAGAAAGCAATTGTACTGAAGCCAGCGGTCGCTAGTGCGGGCTTGCACATCCTGGCACGGTCGTAGGTGCACCGCTGGCTCTTGGTGCTGAAGCCCTCAACAGAACCCAGAAAGAGAAAGATCAAAATTGCAAAAACAACCATGAAAACACCAACATATTGATACTCTGTAAACAAGAAGGAGGTTGCACCTGTTTGTATTTGAAACAAATCAAAAACATACTCAATTAGCAGAAACCACCACTCAATAATCAATCCATGGATAACCAGAAAAAGGAAATTTTTCGATCAATATCTAACCTACGAAAGGAAGATAATCGTAATATCTAACCTTCAGAGATTGCATTCTGAATCTCGGCACATTTAACGACGACGTCATGTTTATTCATCCCTTCCTCTTCTTCAATCAAATAGTCATCGTATCCATTTTTGTTCTTGTTTGACGGAGGTCCGTTAGGGTCAGGTGTAACCTTTACTCTAGATACTAACAACCATTGCAGTAACGAAAAAACGATACCAATGACGGCGCATATCGGAATAATAATCTCCGTCGCAAGACCTGAGAGTAACGGCGAAGTCATAGTATCGGAAACCGAGTATCTCGCCGGAAATTGGGACGAATAGCAGGCGGAGTTGGAGGAAATAGAAGAGTTGCAGGTAACAGAGGTTTTGGGAGGGTAGTGAAGTAGTAGGCGGTGGGAATTTATATTTTATAGTTCTTTCCGAAAATAGAAATTTATAGTATTTTATAGTTGATGGAAGAAAGAGAAGATAAGGTGGAGAAAGTTGCGTTTTATCTGATTGGATCTTTTAGGGTTCTTCGGTGCAACCGCAGTTTTAATCGGACGGTTAGATTTCAGCCATATGTCGTTTAATGGCTTTAAGACGCTTCTACTTTTTAAGATGCATAGTTTAGGATGAAATAGAACAGATATTGCTATTCGGTGTTTGTCATCATTTTTTCACCTCAATTAAAAGACTTAAAATATTAATTTTTATATATTTTTTATATTTTAATTAATTTATGTAATTTATTAAATATTAATAATCTTCTATATAATTTATAAAAACCACGTTTTTATCGTATTTTAATATTCTGATATTACCCTAATGAACTTTAGTTTAAGTTATGTTTATACTTTATATTTATGTGGTATGTTTTTAAAACTTTATGAACGAAAAAAGAAAATGATCAAAATAGTTTTATATAAAAAGTACCTAACAAACATTATGGGTTTATCGTTAGACACAAAATTTGTGACAAAATATAAATCACAAGTTTAGTGATGTAGCTTTAGAATTTTAGAGGTCATTTATCAAACATTTATAGATTATACGTTTTTTGGATGTCGCTTACTCTAAATGGGTGGGTACGATAAGGGTTAAAAAAATTTACTCAGTAAGCGAGTGGGAAAACTCTTGCAGGGCTAATTACTGAATAAGAAACGTTTACCTACAATCAATTCTAATAGCTGAAATTATAACCCGATAAAAAAAATTAAAGATAATGAATTTTGTCAATAAACATTTGATATTACAACTTTGTCAGGATTTTCTTTAAAACTCACCGATTCAAATCCTATAAAACCTCTAAAAATTTTCTTATTAAGACACCTAAAATTAATCGAGTTACATATAAACTGCATCAAACGTTGTACAAATCCCTTAAAAAAAACAATGTTTTGGTGAAGCAAATCAACCATTTTTGTAATTTAGTGATAAAAATATTATATATTTGATGGGATATTTGTGGGTCATAGTAAAAGTTGCATAGAGAGATGTGCAATTGGATAAAATTTGAGTTTGGTTCACCTGCCTATCCTCTTTCTAACAATCTATTCGGTTCTTATTTAATGTCAATAAATAATATATAATATAATAAATATATTTGATTTGTTAGGTACTGTGTATGGCATGACATATGGATCGAATAAAATTCAAGAATCGTTTCGGAAAACATTTTTGGTATATAATAATTCGATCTTATTAGATTTGGGTTTACGAATTTCGTATTGAGATAATTCTTAAGATTATTTTCCCTTTCAAAGGGTGTGAAATCGAGATTATCTGTCCAGATTCTCGTTTTACATATTTATATGATGGTTATTGACGGTTTAACGGTTATAATCATCAATGGATAAGGTCAAAGTTAGTTACAACTAAATCTTAAATGTGAAGCATGCAGGTCCAGGTCTTGTGGATACACTTGACTAGAGGTAGGACCAAAGACGACTAGCCTGACCAGGACCCCTCTGACCAAAGACTTACCGGATTTTCTAAGTCTGAATACACAGGTTCAGACTTCGCATGCTTTTTTTTCAGAGTTACCACCGCCAACGGGCTCTGCCCCTTAGAACCCCGCTAGGGGCGCTGTCCCTGATTCTCGCTTTATGACGATCTAAAGTGATAGAGATGACATTTGTAAGTGTGCACTCCACACTTCCTACTTATGTATGTTTACCCGTTGCCTTAATTGATCTCAAGAAAATCACAATTGCATCAAAATACTTGATGACACTAAAATCACCAATACAAATACTATCTAACAGTTACAAAATGTCATTTAGTTTAAATTTATTTTTAAATTATTTATTTTTTACCGGTGGACCATTAGCCCTTGTATGTTTGTCAAAACCATCACTTTCAGTTTCAGATATATTTTCGTGCAAAAAAATATCGATATATCAAAAACATATCTTATGAATACCTACGCGTATAATAATATTAAAGGATAAATGATATTAGAATGAAATAAAATTGAAGTTAAATGATCGATTTTACTAATACGACCGATTATATAACATGGTAATTTTGACTTGATATATTTTACTTTTTTTTAATTATTATTAGATGATAAACACGAATTATATACACTACACAAAGAGAATCACAATCGTTGATACAATTTGGATACCAAACTATCTTATCAATATATTTACAAAAAAAAAAAGCCATCGTTGTAGTGGTGAAATTGTGATACATAATCGAATCTTATTTGTTTTGGTAATTAATAAAGAATCCTATAAAATCTTTTCAATACCCATATATGGATTAAACCCATTTTAATCGTGCGACAAAAGCTATTTCAGTATGGTACAGAGTTGAAACTGGCTAACGTAGGGCAAAGATCCTAATAAACAAGTATAAATAGAAGAAGCATCTCCCTCACTATCCCGTATAGTATATAGGCCTCGTATTTTAAGTAAGAACTATGACATAGGAAAAACAAATTGATATTTCTTGCTTTATATGTTGTAACAAGGCTTCTTATGCTACAATTGTAAAAATAAAAGTCATAATGACATGGTTAGTTGTGTTACGGTGCATGTGAGATGTACGAGGTTCAATCTGTTGCACCTTCTTTATTTTTGCAAAACCGCATCAGCAAGAAAACATCATGAAAAATAAAATATGTTAAGTTAGAATTATTGTATCACATCATCCTCGGCAAAATTAACCTCTTATTTGCTAAAGAGATCATCAAAGACCTTTAATCATTCGTAAATGTTATTTTCTAGAGATATAAAACTCGTTTCATGTTTTGTTGTTTCACTGTGTAAGTGTTTTTTTTTATCTGATGTTTAGAAATTTATAATTTTCAAAACTGAAAGTTGTAAGTCTTAAGTGGATGTTTTGTAAAATAGTAGATGTATGTTTGGACAAAATATTGATTATCGGTAATATCATATTCCATGTGGAAGACAAAAAATTTGTGGCCCTATATGAAACCCGCCCCCTGAGCACCACATGTGAAGAGTTATTTCTTAAGTTGGTTTAACGGCAAGACAAATAAAGAGATTCAAACTTGAATTTGTTATGTATCTGAACAAAGAAATGCAAACCAATCCTAATCACTCATCTGTTTTATCAACGGTTGAGATTAAAACGGTTACATCATTTAACTTCTTGCATGATCTTTCACATATGTATGTATGTATGTATGTACATACATACATATACATATATATATATATATATAGGGGAGAGAGAAAATGCAAACCACTCCATTAGTATAAACCATGAAAAGCTCATTCAACCAATAAATTTTTTATTTCTTTAACTATGAGTGTTGATTCATCAAGTCTATTGTGGAAGACGTTCATTATGGACATTATCATCTTCATTCTATCAATTTTAGTAAACAAATTTCATTAAAAATGAGAAATATATGAAACAACTTCATTTTCACATACAACAAAAATATATAAAACAATTTTATCAAGAAATGAATTACTTGAAACAATTTTATGAAAAAATTCCACTAAACTAAACAATAAAATCCATGATTTTCATAACTTATACTAATGACTTGGTTTGCATTTTATCCCTTCCATATACATACAAATTCAGGGGCAAATGAGTTCATATAACAAGTGGAAGTAAATTGATGGTGAAAACTTCAATCACACATATCATGAGAAGTAGAAAAGGTACCAAAAAGCCACACCCATCCTTGTGAAAGAAAAGTATATCAACATTATTTTATGCTACATTTTTCTCATAATAACCAAAACACATTTTCCTTTGTAGCTACAGAGGTTTAAATACGATGATTTCGGGTTATCTGCAAAACGGATGGTTGTCCTAAAAGTAGTCGGCTCGCTTAACGGGTTGAATATCCAAATTAATAAAAAAATATTTTTAAAGATAAAATAATTATGAATCATATATCAAATTAAGTATTATATTCCTTATAAAGCATGCATAAATCATACTACCTTTTATATCATTAAGTTTTTAGATTAAAATATAGTTTTTTATATATCAAATTAATATAATATAATAAACCTTTTTTTAATTAGAAATATGATAGCCTTTTATTTAGTAAAATCAACTATTTGATTTTTCAATCTTGATTTATTTTAAACCTTCTATAATACCATTGTTTAAATTATCAACTTTAACATTATTTAAATATTTTATATTTAAATAATAATAAAAATTAATCATTTTCTTAGATAACTATGCATTTAACTTTTATAAAATTTAATTTAAAATCTTATCTAAAAAAGGGTCAACCATTATGATTTATGACCTTTTTGGGTAGTTGAGTATCAGAAAAAACAAGGAAGGATAATCAACAAGAAATCCCCAAAGTCTCAATAAGTTATAAATTCAGCCATAACCCTCTCCAATTTCCAACAAAATCGCCAATTTTAGGCTTTGTTTTTCCTGGATTTGAGAAATTTCGTTCGACAATAACGAGAAAAGAAGATGGCGAATGAACAAGTGTTCATTGGGTCCATCGATCAAGGAACGACAAGCACTAGATTCATCATCTATGATAAGCAAGCTCAACCCATTGGATCTCATCAAGTCGAGTTCTCGCAGTCCTGCCCACAAGCAGGGTAATCAATAATTTTAATTTTTTACAGTTATAATTGAATTTTAATTGTGAAAAAGATCTGAAAAAATCTTCCTTTTTGGGTTTCTGTTTGATATTTACAGGTGGGTCGAACATGATCCAGTGGAGATTCTTGAAAGTGTGAAGATTTGTATAGCGAAGGCCATCGATAAAGCAACAGCTAATGGTCACAATGTTGATAATGGTCTCAAAGCAATTGGTATCACGAATCAGAGGGAAACGACTGTTGTTTGGAGCAAGTCTACTGGGGTTGCTCTTTATAATGCCATTGTTTGGATGGATGTTCGAACCAGTTCAATTTGCAGGTATATTTGCTTCGATTTCATCAATCTTTTTTCACAACTTCTAGTTCTTGATCTAAACCTACTTTGTTTTCATCGAAAGTTTGGTAACCCGTTTGAGTTTTTGTATGGTTGGTATTCTTGTTAGCCTTCTTGTGGGATCTTGATCAAGATTCTATTTTGCCATCTTTTGGGCATACTGTTTTTGAATGATTTGTGTTCTTGTTAATCCTTTTTTGTGGGATCTTCATCAAGATTTTATCTTGCCATTTTTTTGGGCATACTGTTTTTGAATGACTTGTATTCTTGTTAGTCCTTTCTTGTGGGATCTTGATCAAGATTCTATTTTGCCATTTTTTGGGCATATTGATAGCTTTTAAATTCTTTGTTTTGTAGGAAATTGGAGAAAGAATTATCAGGGGGGAAAACCCATTTTCTAGAATCATGTGGTTTGCCTATAAGCACATATTTCAGTGCATTGAAGCTCTTATGGCTGTTGGAAAATGTAGATGCTGTGAAAGACGCTGTTAAGAAAGGGGATGCTCTTTTTGGAACCATAGATTCTTGGTTGATCTGGAATTTAACTGGAGGTGTTGATAATGGTGTACATGTGACTGATGTCTCTAATGCATCAAGAACCATGCTTATGAGCTTGAAAACACTCGATTGGGATGGATCTACATTGGAAACACTAAAGATTCCCAAGGAGATTTTACCGAAAATTGTGAGCAATGCTGAGGTTATTGGTCATGTAGGAAAAGGATGGTTGATTCCTGGAATTCCAATTTCTGGATGTTTAGGTGATCAACATGCAGCAATGTTGGGTCAATCTTGTAGGAAAGGAGAAGCCAAAAGCACTTATGGAACAGGTGCTTTTATACTTCTTAATACAGGCGAAGAAGCGATTCAATCAACACATGGGTTGTTGACCACTTTAGCCTTCAAGCTTGGAAAAGATGCTCCTACAAATTACGCTCTGGAGGGCTCAATTGCCATTGCTGGAGCTGCTGTTCAGTGGCTCAGAGACAGTTTAGGGATCATTAGTTCAGCTAGTGAAATTGAAGATTTGGCTTCAAAGGTTGACTCAACTGGTGGTGTTTACTTTGTTCCAGCTTTCAATGGGCTTTTTGCACCATGGTGGCGTGATGATGCCCGTGGTGTTTGCATCGGGATTACTAGGTTTACAAACAAATCTCATATAGCCAGGGCTGTTCTTGAAAGTATGTGCTTTCAAGTGAAAGATGTGTTGGATTCAATGCATAAAGACGCCGGTGAGAAGGGGGAAATCAAAAACGAAAAGGGACAGTTCTTGCTTAGGGTGGATGGAGGGGCAACCGTTAATAACACTCTTATGCAGATTCAGGTACATTTTCTAAAGCACATATTGTTGATTTTCTAATTTTGTGATCAACAATCAATATTAGTTGGTAGATTATATACTGAAGAAGTGAAGTGATGTTGCAGGCTGACTTATTGGGTAGCCCGGTGGTGAGACCAGCAGACATTGAGACAACAGCATTGGGTGCAGCATATGCAGCTGGTTTAGCGGTTGGAGTTTGGACAGAAGAAGAGATATTCTCAAACGGCGAGAGAATGAAGAAAGACACCACTTTCAATCCTGTCTTGAATGAGGAGTTGAGAAAGAAGAAAGTAGCCTCTTGGTGTAAAGCAGTGGAAAGAACATTTGATTTGGCTGATTTGTCCATCTAAACCAGAAAACCGCATAGAAAACCGCATTCAACAGCTTTTCTTTTCTTTTCTTTAAATTCCCTTTCTTCATTACAAAGTTTACTTAGATTACTTGGTGCATAAACATTATGTTCAATCTATCTTTGTTTATATTACAAGTGTTGGTTTTCATTTCTCAAAGCTATGTTTATACATCATGTTTGGATCATTCAAGTAAAACCAAGTGGAATTTACTTGTCTGTCTTCAACATTAAGTTGTTTCATTTTGTTGTTCTCAAGATTTGAGAAGTTCACTGGAATAGGCCCAAACAACTTATTGTAAAACAAGTTCAATGATCGAAAGAGTCATCGCCCTCACTTAACGGGTAACTCTTGATCCTTGTCTCGCTCTTACCGAGTAATATTTTTGGTCCTTATCATACCCATCATGTAAGTTAATATGACTTGGTAAGTGCTTACCCGTTAAGCCTTTGATAAACAGCCCCTAAAATATAACGGAACAGAGCGCAACTCTACTAGCTGCAAGTGTTCAGCCCTTGATTTATGAAGCTTTAGTCAAGGAGAGCACAAACCTTGAAACCACCCTTTCCATGGAATTAGATGCTAAAGATAGAAATCTAAGGGATGATAAAGCAATAAAGGACCTCAGGACCTCTTTTCTAAGGTTGTTCCCATTTTAGTGCATCAGACTACTCATAAAATATATAAAACATTATTCTGGTCTTGTATCTTAAACTATCATGACTTTGAAAAATAATTGAAGAATCGTGATCAAACGTATACAACACTTCAACAATCTACTTCATTTTTGGCCAGATATGTTTTTGAAATTTTGATTAATCGAACACATTAAGTTTTGCCATTGTAATATATACTTATATTTTACAAGACACGATAACACGAATGAAACCAAAACCACTTGGGTAAGCGTTAGAGGATGCAATGAAAGTCCCATTTTTCATGGGGTCGAATTCATGCATTACTAAAACCCCTTGTGTCCATGGAGATTCATCTACGATACTCAAGACTATTCATGGTCGATCAACGGACTTGTCTGTGCGTGTAAGCGGACCTGAATACCATCCAATCATTATCAAATTAACCTTCCTACCATTACAAGGCCTCCTAAAGTCTTGAGTGTCATAAAATATGACATTTGGAAAAGATGTATGAACAATACAGGTAGTTTTAGAATTTTTTCCACCATTGAGATGACATGAAATAATTACATAAAATAACGAAAAATAAAAGTTATATTGATAAAAACCATAAAAATTAAAAATTGTAATAAATTAAAGTCATAAATTATAAATTTATATACACATGTGCAGCTAATTAAGTTTGGTTATTGTCATACAACAAAAAAATTCAAATTAAAATTGAAATCAACAAAAATTCAAAAATATATATTTATTAGTTAAAAATACGTGAAAAACATTTGTATTAAAAATAAAAACAATAAATCAATTGATGAGGGACCCTTGAAATTAAAAGGAAAAAATAAAATTGGTTTAGTTTAAGAACCTTCCCTTTGCCAGGTGAACGGAACCGGTGGTTGTGTCTTCGGATGTCTAGAAAAGAATCAGGAACCCATCTATTCAGTTATAATTGATCGAGCATAATTGGATATTCAAATTGTAATTCGATTCGATCGGATTGAATATTTCAACATCCAATTTGTATCGGTCGGTTCTCGGATGACAGTCTAGAACAGACCAAATCGAATCGAACGACCGACATCCCATTAATCATCTGAAGACCATCCAATTACCCATCCAACCATTGTCCAATTATCATCCAATTCATTTGTTGTCAAATTGCTTAAATTGAAATTTGTTGTGTGAGGTTTTGAATTTTTAACTTCTCTTGTTTTAATTTTAACACATTAAAAATGATTAATTAATTTGTATCATTGTTAAAGAATTGGATTGAGAATCCACTCCCATTAAATCACCCATTGGATATAAGAAATGAAACCCAACATCTGTCATTTTAATTTTTTTTGGGCCAGATTTCAGAGACCCAACTCACGGTCGCAGCGCATTACTCAATTTAATTAAAGTGGGTCAAGGCTCAAATTACATCCAGCAACCCAGATCCAATTACAACTCCTTCTTGCACAGTTGCACATGCACATGAAAACCACCGGCTTCAATTCAAGTTCCTTTGATTTTCATTCAATCAGCTCTTAATGTAGTCTCCTAATGTGTTAGTAGCCAATCCTTAACCATATATAATGATCTACTCCTACCAAAGCACGATTCAGGTTGGTTTTTTTGATCGATTTCATTGAATTTTCTTTTTTAATTTCTACATTAAATGGTTTTATCATTGTTATCCAGTATTCTTGAGCCGGATAGCAACCTAAATAGCTTTCTATCATCATCTCGAAATCCAATTATTCGCCTCGTATCAACATACTAAATAACAATAGGAAGTGAATGAAAGCCTAAAATGTAAATCTTACCTCCAATCGACGATTTGGGGGTTGAAGAACCCTAGAAAAATCTCTTAGATAAAAATCTTCAATTCAGTAGTGACTCCCTCTGTGCTGATAATAAATCAATTTAATATAACCACAGGTTGTTGGTCACGTAGGAAAGAGATCGTTAATGCCTGGATGTTTAGGTGATCAAATGCTTTATCTCAATTCCTTTCACTTTTGCCATGATTGACGGCCACAACTTTTGCATTTTTGGATTGATAAGATGGTGTAAGGAGTACATATTAATCACTTTCAATGTGAATGAAACAAAAACATTTTCATGTTCCAACAAACTTTCAAATTTCCATATGTTTTTAGGAACATTACATAATACTTGTAAAACGTTAAGTCAATGGTCAATTTCAATCCAGGCAGACCTCATTGCCAACCACTTAATTCATCTATTTGTGTGACTGTCTAAAGGCAGTCCATGCACGGTACATGTACTAAAAACTTAACATGACAATGAAGTTCTTGAGTCGACTTTCTTCTAAGAGTGTAGTGTGTGGTATCCTTAATTCAAACATTGTATATGTGTATATTCTTAGTATGAGTCGACTTTACTTAATATGAATCACAAAGTCAACGTTCAATTTCAATGTATAAGTCTATTTTACCGATTACTAACCATAATTTTGTGTTTTGGAGATATAAGATAGCATTGGAGCATTATATGTGGGTATCAAATCAAAAACCTTAGCTGATGAAATGCTATGAACTAAAATGATTTATTAAATACATATCAATATTATATTTGTGTGAGATCAAAAACCTCACTCAACGCAATATGCTATTGACTAACAATAATTTGACATGTTGGTCAATCTATAACCATGGATTTAAAGTACAAAAACGTGGTCATCGTCGGTTCCCCAAAGAAATAAGGTCGATCCTATGTAACCATTTTTTAAGTGCATAGTATTTATATACGGAAAATATAACAAAAGAACTCAAATACCATATTCACCTTTGGTAAGATTTGCGCCCCTGACCTTCCGATGAGGTTAAAGGTCTGGATCGTTAATCCAAAGGCCCTTTAGTATTATAACCGGTTCTTTCAACCATCATTATTCAAATATGGGACTTATTGAAACCGTTGGATTGGTTATAAGCAATTCATTAGTTTGGGCTAATGTTCTTTTCTCTTGAATCTGCACCTACTTGGCAACTTCATTGTCGAGGTTATATAGATCAGGGGTGCAAAAGAAATCAAACAATTCGTCAATCCGTCCAACGTAACCCAAAAAGAGACGAACTAACCCAGCCCAATCTCAACAATTCTCCAAATATGTTTTATGTTCTCTCTCTTCTATCTTCATTTTGAAGAAATACCTGGTCATTCTGTCGAAAACAATTTTTATCAAATTTTAGAGAATTTGTCGGAATCACCTATCTTGATGAGTTTTATCATGACTTTAGGTGTCAGTTTGTTCTTTTTAAGCATATCTTACCTCCGATTGACGATTTGAGGGTTGAAGAACCTTAGAATTTGGATCTCACATTACAGCTGCTACTTTTCGTTTTGTAGGTAAACTAATATTTTCAAAGCTTTGAAATGGATGCGAGTCATTTGATGTATTTATATGGGTGATTATGGAACCGTTTTTGTTGTCCAAAGTCACAGGTCCAGAGAAGAAGGTAAATTTATTTGTTGTCTCTGTCGATATTCCATTTGAACGAATGGCAAGACAGGCCCTTTGGCTTTCAGTCTTATCAATTGTTACCCTAAACTTTAATATTTCATACTTCTCTTCTATTATTATGATAAAAATTTCATGGTTATCACAAAAATAGAGATTTTGAAGACCCTTTTTTTTATTATCAAAAGTTGGTTCTAGTAGAATCCAAAATAATTTTGGAGGATAAAAAGGGAAAATTCTCTATCCTAAATTTATTTATATGCTATAAAGTTCCTGTTAATTGGCCATATATGAAATTAATGGATGGTTGATTTTTCAGAATTTGGATGTTTAGACAATCAACATGCAGCAATGTTGGGCCAATCATGTAGGAAAGGAGAGGCCAGAAGCAGTTATGGAACATTTGCTTTTATACTTGTTAATACATATGTGCTTTTATCCTGTCTTGAATGAGGAGTTGAGAAAGAAGAAAGTAGCCTCTTGGTGTAAAGCAGTGGAAAGAACTTTTGATTTGGCTGATTTGTCCATCTAA